ATGTGTATGTCTGCATGTGTATGCTTTTATGTGTATGTCTGCATGTGTATGCCTTTATGTGTATGTCTGCATGTATATTCTTTTATGTGTATGTTTGCATGTGTATGCCTTTATGTGTATGTCTGCATGCATATGCCTTTATGTGTATGTTTGCATGTGTATGCTTTTATGTGTATGTCTGCATGTGTATGCCTTTATGTGTATGTCTGCATGTGTATGCCTTTATGTGTATGTCTGCATGCGTATGCCTTTATATGTATGTCTGCATGTGTATGCTTTTATGTGTATGTATGCATATATAGATTATATATATATATATATATATATATATATATATATATATATATATATATATATATGAAGAATTTTAATTTATAATTCAACACAATTTTATAACTTTAAAAATAACATTTAAAATAATATATATATGTTATGTGTATTTAGTCAGCAAATGTTCTTTAAGGCAAATATTATTGAAGACAACAGACATTTTGTGATGATTAATTTTACTGATTGACTTTTCCAAATTACAAATAATCTTTCTCAGAAAAGGAAAATTTTTCCAAAGTTCATTTCAGAAGAAAAGTACAAGAAATATGATCCAGTCTTTTGATTTTCTTAAGTCACACATCAGAGTAGGTAGAGACAGTTGGTGTGTTTTGTAGAACCGTCAATGCTGTGGCATAGGCAAAGAGTGTTGCGATGAGAGCAAGATATAATGTGTGTTTTTTTATTATGTACATTAAGGATGTGGGCTCTTAAGTTATAATTGTATTTATTAATTGATCAAAAATTAATAAAACAATTATCACTTAAAAACCCATATTGTCAAATGTAAAAAAAAATCACACACACACACATCTGAGCTTGTCACCTCACATTACTGGATACACTTTTGACTCTCTAAGCAATGGTTAGGTTTAAAGTTAGAGTTACAAGATTATAAAAATATGTGAACCAAGTACAATATGATATTATTTACCTTTTATAAAGATTTATTATTTACCATTTTATACTGGTTATTTCCTTGACAGCACTATTAATGGATACACTTTTGACTCCCTCGGCAATGTTTATTTACAAGATTATAAAAATAAATTTCTCTTTATAATGTCCAAATTTTGTGAAAAGGTCACATCCTCCAATTCTCTGGGATATGCCATAGCAGAGATCTTTCTATGGCCTCAGATCCTGTCCAAATCAAAAAGAGATCTGTAATGTCATTCTCCCTTCCTGCAACTTTGTGGTCTTTTAACTTTTTGGCCCATGCCTGGGTAGCAAAACAATGAATACATATTTCCACAAAGTCTGGCTCATCCATCAGGGCCATTGCTAATACTGAATGGTAAGTGCATAAAACATAATCTTCCAAATGGTATTAAAAATAGCATCAGTTCTTGTGAATCTTTGTGGGGGTTTATTTAATGAAAACTACTGTTGTAGTCGAATTTACTGAAAATTGTAGCTTCATCCAGTTCTGCCAATAGTTGGTCTATTGTGGGTAGAGGAAGATTTTCTCTTTTCATGCCATCATTAAGTTTGGTTTCCATTTGTCTTTAATATGGCAACTATTGGGGCATACTACTCTGTGTATGCATAGAATTTTCTTTTTCTAAATGCTGTAACTCTTCCAGAACTTTTTTCTTCATAGGAAGTGGCAAGCATTGAGGAGTTGCTATAGACATTGATTGCATAGACTCTTTTAAACATAATTTATACTAACTTAAAAGCCACCCTATCAGGTGGCATTTAAGCTAGCTCCTGCAGAGAGCACTTAATTGGGCCTTCATCACAATAGGTTGGGAAGAGTAAATGCGATAGTGTTGTGGAGTTATTTCACAGTGGAAGCTTGTATTTGTACTAAGTCAGTCCTAAAATACGTTTGACATACAAAACGTTAGGAACTTGATATAATAGGTATTATGCAGAGTAAGCTGGTTGTGGTCGCTGACTACTTTCGTATTTGACTGTCATTCGACATCGACTGACTGACTCCCGTTTCTCTTACTACTCCTACTTATATTAGGTGGGAGAGTTCTATTAACTATAGAATAGATGTGTTTCACCATAACAGATAGGCCTTACTTTGGTAGGTCCTTACTTTCTGTACAAACAATTATTTTTATTTCATGTGTGACTTTCGCTGTATTCTGCAATTAATTTCAATTATTCTCCCCAAATCGCCAAAAACAATTGCAGTAATGAAAACTTGAGAATCCCAAATTTCAGAAATGTGGTAAAGTAATTGGAATAATGAAAACTTGAGAATCCCAAATTTCAGAAATGTGGTAAAATAATTGGAATAATGAAAACTTGAGAATCCCAAATTTCAGGATTGCGGGTTTGGATCTAGCCCAGAATGTTTATAATTTGTTCATGATGTCAACCTGATCCCAAAATAGTATGATATGTCTAGGAGTAAAGTTGAGAACACTGACAATTTCATTTTGAAACACTGTATTTTGCAAACAGTAATTTTTTTTATTTGAACATGAGCTATTGAAAGTTAGAGAGTTGTTTTTATCAGTAGAAGCCAAGATGGCAGAATCCAAAAATAATCTCAGTAATGAAAACTTGGGAATGCAAAATTTCAGGATTGTGGGTTTGGATCCAGTGTGTAATGTTTTTGATTTGCTTATGGAGTTGGCCTGATTCCAAAATGGTATGATATGTTGAGTTACAGCCTCTAGGAGTAAAGTGGAAAAAGTGTGACACAGTGACATTGGTATTTATTATATAGATGAGCTATTGTGAGTTGTGTCCCTTTAATTAAAAAGTTTGATACACTGACATTGGCGTCTGTCTATATTTCTGAGATGAGGTATTATGTACAGTATTTACATTAGTCAGACTATTGTCCTCATCTTTGTCGCCATATGTGTCACAACGTTTCGGCCGTTGTACGCTCCGGCCTTCTTCAGGTGGTTGGAATTTCAAACTGAACCCTTTATTTCGATCACTGGGGTAGACTGTTCATACCCAGATGTCCTCAAGGACACATGGCACAGTGGATAAAGGTGTTGGTTAGATCCAGTTGGCCTGATTCCAAAAAAAGTCAAAAGTCCAGCCAAAAAAGTGTGCAAGAAAAGTCTTGCACACTTTTTTGGCTGGACAGTCATTTTGTGTGTGAGATGGAATATTGCCACAGTGTGTACATTTATTTGTACTGCTTTTATGGTGTACTGTATCTTGAGGATTTTTTTTATATTTCTTTGGTGTTACTCTGCTAATGTTTGCTTCTGTTGCATTTTTTCCTAAAGAAATATTTTGAATTTGTTTGGAAGTTTCATAGGCTCTGCCTGTCAATACATTTGTCTAGGGTAAGCCTTTAAAAACTTTTCCTTGACTGTACCATCTGCATTCTTTTTGAATTTTGACATCATTCTGGGCTCTTTTTTGTGTAAATCTGTGAATTTGTTTTGCTCATGTAAGCCTAAAAAAAACGCTATATAAAATTCCTCATTATTATCTATGATGTTGAATGTGTAAAAATTACTCAACTTTTTAACAAGAAAAATCTGAAGTTGATGTTAAAAATTGCTGCAAATCATTGTTGATTTATGAAATGATCCATTATGACATGTCTTTAATTTGTATTTTTAGATACATTGTATTTTTCAATTTTTCTAGTTGAATTGTTTACTTATATTGGATATGATCCTAATATTGTACCTAATTAAATTAGGTTACAATAAAATTTGTATTTCATATGATGAATACTACCTTATGAAATTGAGATGTCGCTGAGTGGGAGGACTGTATCATAGATTGGGGGTGGGGCACGAAACCCGTGTACCAGCCCTCATGAGTTCTGTTACGCTCTTTTTCCCTTTGAAAAAGCATTTTTAGATAGGGTAGGCGGCTTTATATTATGAAAGCAACCTGGGAATTTAATCATGTACTACTATTTCTTTTTTGTCTATATTTCTGAGATGAGGTATTATGTACAGTATTTTCAGTTCAAAATTCCAACCACCTGAAGAAGGCTGGAGCGTACAACGGCCGAAACGTTGTGACAAATATGGCAACAAAGATGAGGACAATAGTCCAACTAATGTAAATACTGTATTTCTTTTTTATATTAATTTACTATTGTTACTGAAGTATTATGGAAATGAAAACTCCTTTTGACGCACGATGAGAAATATTGACTCGTTCAATCCCTGAAAAGTAAAACTGAAAAGTTTTGTGACAGAGTTATTTTGTCTTTTATTTATTAAAGAAAGAAAGACCATTTAAACTTAAATATGTATTTTTTTGTACCATTCATAATCATTTTGATAAAAAAAAGTAACCTAAACTAGTTTTGAATTTAAGCAACAAGTGTCAAGATTTATTGTATAAAAAATACAATTGTGGCACAAGGCCGAAAAGGGGGAATTGGGTTGAGGCTGGTCGTCACTTACTATCCTACCTAGCTAATCAGACTCACGACCCATTCACTCGTTACAATTTGCACATCCACCAAAAGAACTTATCCGTCATCATTCAATCCTCCATATACCATAATACCTCATACACTCAAGGGACCTACAAAACGCATCCTATAACATAAAAATTTCATGAGCATAAAAATCTATACATAAAAATTTATAGATGATATACAATGATCGGGGAATGAATGAATCAAAAGATTCAAAACATAACAAAACAAAGTCTCATTACAAGTGATTACAATTTTTGGTGAAAGAATATTTGAATGAAGCTGAGTTAAGTTTCTTATTCGTAAGCCGCAAATATGAACAGTTCAAAAATAGTTGCAATTTGAAAAATATTCATAGAAAATATATAGTCAGAGATAATATTTTAGTTTCCGTTTTAATCTTTTTAATGCAATAAGTTGAGTTAGAAAATAACTTGTTTTTTTTAATTGACGTGATAAGTTTTTGTGAATGTGGAAACTAGCGCTTCTGGGTGGTTGCTAGCTTTGTATGAACCGAATCCTCTTTTTTTCCACGTGAGGACGATACTTGTAAAAAGCCCCAGAAAGTAAAGAAAAGATGAAGCCGACACCGAGAAAAACTGGGGTGAGTGTTATTTGGACAATTGATTGGAATTAGTTTCGACTCATTTTATATTTAGATCTCTTCACGTTTCCTAGTGAATTGTAGACTTTATTTTGTAGTCGGTTGAGCGAAATTTGTTTTTTTTTTTTTTTTTTCATGCAGCTTTTTGCTTGGCCAACCAGACCATGTGGTATTTTTAATTTATGTTTTTTTAGTTTTCTTTTCTTAATTAATCCTCGAGAACTTCCACTTGTTCCTGCAGTCATTTTTTTTTAAATCCGTCAATATATGGACTCCCTCTTTCTTTTTCCATTTGATTATTTTAAATTCCAAAATAAAAGTTTTTCATGCAAAATAAAGAAAATCGCACTTTTCTTTTGCACATAAAGTTTTCTACTCCATGTGCGAATTTTAAGGAAACTTATTCGAGAGTAGAGTAGACGAACCTTCATGCTTGCTAAATTAAATACTACAATTACATATTTTTTAAATTGTTTAAGCAGATTTCAGGTTCACAACTATATTTAATTGTTTTTTTGTTCTCTTCGACAGCGAAACTAATTAAAAAATTTTTTTTTTTTTTAAATCATTTAAAAATTTGAGTATTTTCAAGATACACTCTCTACCTACACTAGCCAAGTGTTGAATGTTTTTGTAAAGTATTGATTGAAAAGATAACTTTTTTTTCCCCTGACTTTCTAGATGTCAGTGTGCAAAATTATTCGTAACTTTATGAAAAGTTTCAACTTATTCACGTGTTCAACTTTAGTTTAGGAAAGGTAGTGTAAACTAAACATCGAACATAATTTTCTTTATATAAGGAAGCACTCCGTTACGAATATTAATATAAGAAATTATTTTAAAAAAATTGTATAATAAAATCCAATTTTCTATGTAAATTAAATTCATTGTTTGCAAGTATCTGACCCCACCCCTGGAAGCCAAGACAAAAAATGTACGTGATTTAAAATTAAAAGGTAAGCGTAAGAATTATGAAATTCAATAAAAGTTAAAAACTCTTAGTCTTCTTAGCGATATGGCTTTTTTTTTTTTTTTAACTTATGAAAAAATGATGTATTCACCAAAAATTATTGGCAAAATCGTATTAAGTGTCGGATGAAAGAATTTCTTTTTTTTTATTTAAATAAGACTTAGCCTATTTTCTTTACACGTTTCAAAAATATCAATGTTCACTTCGAATGGGTTACTGCTCGGTGCTATGGCAAAAAAAAAAAAAAAAGCATAGAACAAAATTTATTTTCCTGGATGTTTTTCCTTCTACAAAAATTCTGCGAAAAATGTTTTAAAAAGTTTCGAAGTTTAACTCGCTTTCGACATTATTGGTTTGGCTAATTTGGAGCAACAGTCATGAAAAAGACTAAAATTAAATTACTAAATATAAATTCAGTCCTATTCTAAAATAGTTCTATTTTTGTGTCACTTTTTTTTTTTATCAGCGGATATAATCGTTGTTTATTGTTTGAATGATGCATTATTATTTTTCGTTGACTAATAAATTTTTGCCCAGGTAGCAATCTGAGACAAAGCTAAATTTATTTTTCTTCAAATAAAGAAAGGGAAAGGATTTGGCGGAAAACCACCAAAGTATTTTAATTTTAACCATTAAGAGCTGCTCGATACATATGTTTAGGTAGGAGTTATATTTCTTTCTAATTGTTTGGTATTGGAATGAAACGTGCTTGCGACGTAACAAGTGCCTGCGATGACAGTTCAAATTGCCGCTGCCTTCACTGTCGTACTTTGGGAAAATAATGAATGAATTTTTTTTTCATCTGTCTCTTCTAAAAGAAGGAAGACACCAAATTCCAAACCGTTGAGGAGATAACCGGAAGCATGCTATTTTTTCCAAAGAAAGTCTAGCAATTTGTAAAAGCTGGATTTTGTTTAAAAAGCGTTACCGCCACGAATTAACAAAAATAAACAAACAAAAACAAAATGCATGATTCAAAAAAGGCATTTTTATTTAGGTACTTCCACCGATTTGCTAAAAAAAAAATTAGCTTTAAAGCTTACCATTAAGGGTGGGGGGAGGTCCCAAACTTAAAATTAAAACGTTTTTATCGTCAAAATATTTGTCAAGCAAGCAAGAGTAAACACCAGAGGATTTTTAATTAGTAAATTATTTTTTTATTTTTATTTATTTATTTTATTTTTTTTTTATTTATTTATTTTTTTATTTTTATTTTTTTTCGTAAGTCTCAATAGCCAAAGATTAGTTAGTAAATTTTTTTTTTTTTTTTTTTTTTTTTTTTCGGAGAAAAAACGCATTGATTTGAAAATTCTTGCAAAAACGAAATAACTGTCGGATTTTAATCAAACTTTCAGGACTTGTTCATAAATGAATTATTTCAGAATTTTTGTAAAACCGGAACACAAGTTGCCGATAATCTGCTCAGAATCGTACGGTAAAAAAATACAAAATGTAATAAACAGACATTTAATTAGAAACCTTTTTTTAATTTATGAATAAATAATTATGGACATTATTGTCTTAATAAAAAAAAACAAAAAAAAAACCTACTTTTTCGATGGATAATTTTTACGAGAACAGTTTTCATTTTTAAATTCGAATAATTTAAGTTTTAAATCCTAAATTTCTGCATTACTTTGTACCACTTAGGTGATATATTGTTATTAATGTAAAAAAAATGTATTAATCAGGAAAAAGCTTACAATTCCTCGAACACCAATATTTTAAAAAGCATTCTGAATTTTTTTCTTGTAAAAAAAAAAAAAAAAAATACGAACGTTCATAAACATTATCAGAAAATAAGTAAATTTAACCAAAGTAAATTGAGAATGTTTCTAAATTTTTAATAAGATTCAGTTATGTGCCATGCGTGATACACGCTTAGGCAGTCATGCATCTTTCAATACATGACTGACGAGGCAAATTTTTTTCTGCGTGGTAGGTTGCCATTTCTTTCTGCGGTAGACCAGTTGCCATCCAAAGCTATAGAACTCGGTCTGTCCTGCTATTTACCCATAGCTGGGGGGAGAAGAGGATTCATACCTTTCCCCAGGGTATTAGCACATAAGTGAATGTAAAATATGAATTTGGCTGAAATTTGAACTTTGCTCTACAATTTCTCAGTCTGAACCACTATCCATTAATCCACAGTAAAAAAAAAAAAAAAAAAAAATTCTGTAAAAACTGTGCTTCTAGAACTCTTCATTGACAATTCTAGAAAGAAAATTCGGATTGCCAACACACAAACAGAATGTCTCATATCGAGAATATTCCACATTGAACATGAAGAAAAATTAATTATTTTTAATAATATGTAAAAATCTCCACTTTCACCTGAAGACGGTTGCGAGACCAGACCAGAAACACGTGTCGTGAAATTATGTAAAACAAAGTATAATATTTTTTCTCAATAAATCCACATTACAACCAAAAACGTTTGCGGCACCCCTCTTCTTTTTTTATATATATATATATATATATATATATATATATATATAAATTATGCATTGACATAAGGATTTTAACTTTTTAAGCATGATCACAGTCAATTCATCATCAATCTCCCATTTTAATTTCAAAAATGATAAATTTAAAACCAATCAAAAATTGAATACATATATGGCATAGGGATTTATTTAAAAGAAAATTAGTAAAATGAAGGCTTAACAGAATTTTTGAAAAAAAAATGTACTTTATTTCTATTTAAAAAAAAAAAAGTTTCAAATGAATAAGGAAAGCCAAAGCTACTGAAATATAGGAACTGCTTTTATTTGCTTAAAACTATTTGGATACATGTCTTCTTTTTTTTTTTTTTTTTTTTTTTTTTTTTAAGTGGGATAGTGATACATTTTTATCCTTTGTATTTATGTAAGTACCGCCAAGCATTTTCTAAAGAAAAAAAAACATACCATGCCTCAAACTTGATAAAAAAAACAAACTTTTATCATCAAAATGTTTATTTGATTTTTACTACTGGAAATCTGCTCTGATTCATAAAATAAAACTAATTATTGGAAAAGCTTTTATTAGGTTGGTGCAAAAATAATGACGTAATAATGCTGTTTTGTGACATTTTTTAACCTCAAAAAACGACATTATTACGTCATTATTTTTGCACCAACCTAATAATTGCTTTCTTAAATAAGAGATATTAAGGACACTATTGTCTAAAGAAAGTTTTACAAGAATTTTCATTTTTTTTTTTTTTTTTTTTTTTTTTTTTTTTAAATAAAAAAAAAAATTCCCAATCTGTATTAATTTCAACCTTTTTTAAATATTAAGTGAAAACTTTATTTATTAATCACACACACACACATATATATATATATATATATATATATATATATATAATAGTGTGTGTGTATATATTAAGAGCTTCAAAGAACCAGAAATTGTGGAGAGCCATGATCACCTAGGTTCTGAAGGGACACAGCATATAGGATGTGTTTTAGGCAGGGAACTTTTTTTTTCCCCCCTCCCATTCTTCTTCTCTAGCAGGAATTACAGCAAATCTTTCTCCTGTCTTCCTTAGTTACCTAAAAAAAAAAATTTCCATCTATTCACCAAGAAATAACTTCACATTTGTAGACTGTTTAGGACTTGCATGGCCATATCTCACTATTTATAACAAGCATGCCAATTTGTATATACCTTTTTCTAAACTGTAAATGAATTAAGCATTGTGGTCTTTCTAAGCCTGGAAAATGTGTTGAATATTTAATGTATATATTTAATGTATATATCATTTTCAAATAATAATAAAGTTTACTGTATTGAGTAATTTGAGAAGCTGTGCCGTCATTTATGGCATGTTCCAAATATATAATTCTTAGATTTTCTTTGAAAGTTTTTATTTCTTTCTTTGAATATTTTTTCTTTTTTGTCAACTCAATTTTATTTTTGTTTTATTATAGGAGCGAGTTACCCGCAGCCAAGGACCTGCGGTATTGTTAAATGATATAAGTCAACTGAAGTCGCCACAGAAAACATTAAGAAGCACACGATCAACAAAAGTGAAGCTAGAGGCTAAAGAAATGGAACCACAAGAACCTACAGAAACTGTGACCCCATCCTTAAGAAGCTCAAAGCGAAAGGTGGTTTCTGCTAACGCTACGGAGGTACCAAAATCTTTAAAGAAGCAGTCTTCTAGAAGAACCAGAAGCTTGTATGCTACCTGTGAGGAGGATTCCATTACCGAAGATTCAGACAATGGACCAGTTGTTGCGGAAGACAAAACTTCAAATAAATTGGAGATTGATGGAACTTCTGAATCTCTAAATCTGAAAACGAAAGTGAAAACCTCTGCAGAAAAATCAGATGTTTCTAAGGACATGGCTGTCGAGATTGTTTCTGCGTCAAATGACAAAGGTTGTGTTGACTCTTTGCCTGAAGAGGATGAATCTGTGGATGTCAGAATGCCGGTTCTGAGGTCTTCACGGAGATTGATGTCCACTTATGGCACAGACAGTGTTGCTGACAAACCAGTAACCCGAAAAACTCGTAGTTCGGCTTCTGTTGCAGTGGAAGTGTCAGAATTAAAATCTATTGTTGAAAGCCTCGCAGAAAAGGTTGCCACAGCAAAAGAGTCTAAAATGTCTCCAGTCTTGGACAGTCCTCTCAAAGTGTGTAAAGAAAAGACAAAAACTCCGGAAGAGGAGCCAGAAATTGAAGTGATTGAGAACCCTGAAAAAGTTGAAGTGAAGCAAATGGCTGGGGAGTCAAAAAGTAATGAAAAAGATTCAGTGTTAGGAATTAAAAGGCTCCAAGAACAGAAAGCGTCTTCGGCTGATGTGGCATCTGGTCAGAGTATAGAGCATGAGAATTCAGCAGAAGCTTTTGTAGTGTCTAAGAAGTCTCAGACCCCTAAAAAGTCTGCAAATATCCCTGAAACAGAAGAGAATGTTTCTGTAGAGAAAGGAAATGAAAAAAGCATAGAGAAATCTAAAAAGTCTTCTGATGCATCTGATACAGTTCAAGAAACCATTATTGGTGCCAAAATGAATGAAGAATCTGAATTAGAAGCAGGTACAAAGACAGAGACTGAAATTTCTTTATTGGCAAAAAGTCCAACTGGTAATCTTTCTGCAAAAACTACCCCACATAAATCTGTGGAGAAACCGAAAAGCAGCAATCAAGCCCTCTCTGAAGAACGAGAAGTTAGAGAAGAGGAAATTATAAGTTTCATTTCTTCTTGTAGACAAGGATTGACAGAATCCTCATCAGAGAAAACTGTTTTAGAAGAAATCAAATTACCAGAGCCAGATCCTGTATGTGAAATAATGGAAATTGAAGATTCTGAATTGGTACAGACTGAGCAACCAGCTGAGGAAAGTAGTGATGTCATCCTGCTATTGGATGACAGTAATGAAGAGATTGAAATTCTCAAATCTTCCAAAACAAAATTAGAAAGCCCTAAAAAACCCAAAAAAGACATTGAAAAATCAGCAAGTTCCAAGCTGCTTCAAAAAACTGAAGAAGTTTTGCTATTTGACACTTTGGAAAGCACTCCTAAGGGAGCTGTTTTAGAAAATTTGTCTCAAAGGGCAGCAGGCAAAGTTTCAGGGTTAGAAACGCTAAAGACAGTTATGGAGACTGGAGACTCACCAAAAACACCAAAATCAACAAGGAAGGGTATAGCTGAAGGAAATTCTGCAGAAGACCCGAAACTGACAAAATCTCCCAAATCTGTTAAAAAATCTAGCAAAGAAAAACAGTTAACACCTAGGGAACAAAAGGTTGTGTTTCCTGCAAGTGATGAAGATAGTGTTGAAGAACTTGAATGTAAGCAAGTCTCAGAATCTGTGAATTCTGAAGTGGCAAAAACGCCCAAAGAAACATCAAAAAAATTGAAATCCAAGACACCATCTGTTGAAAGTTCTGCAGAAGAGACGAACATCAAAAAAACTCCCAAATCTGTTAAATCTAGCAAAGAAAATCTTTTAACACCAAAGCCACAAAGCGATACATTTCTTGAAATTGGTAAAGATTCTGAAGATAAGCAAGTCTCTGAATCGGTGAATTCTGAAGAGGTAAAACCATCAAAAACCCCTAAGAAAACCCCCAAAAAATTAAAATCCAAAATGCCATTTGCTGAAGATGAAATTTCTGAAGAATTAATTTGTGATCAGGAACCAGAATGTCTTAAATCCTCTTTTGTTGAAGCAGTAGTGACTCCAGGACACAAAGAATCTCATGATGTTGTTACTGGGGTTGTTATAGAAGGCCCCGAGCAACCTATTAATGTGTCCAAAATAAAAAAGCTTCCACAATCCTCTAAGAAGTCTGCCAAGAAGGCAAACTTGGAGCTTGACTTGTTTGAGTTGGTGTCGTTTGATGTACCTGAAGAAAGCACAGACATGCTAGTTATAGAAGAACAAGTTTCAGAAACATTGACTGATAAAAAATTACCTGATTTGGACGAGGAAGCAAATTGTGACAATTTTCTGGTATTTACCAAAGTCAAATCACCAAAGGCTGCTCCAAAGGAAACTTCATTAACAGGAGAGGTTAATATATCATCACTGCTCATAAATGGCAGAATGGGTGACAAACTGGACATTAAAAATGTAAGTTTTATTTATTTATTATCTATTGTGTATATTATGGCAGCATGTTTTGTCTACTTATTTTTAATAGTTTCCTCTCGTAATTATAGACAAGTTTATTAGTATCCTTATTAAAGGAAGAAAGAAAATGACCTTGTTTATGCATATTCATTTTATTCAGAGTACTTTTAAAATTGGCATAATGTTGTCATCAGGACTTATTTTCTGAGACAAAAAATTGTGTTCACCTGAAAATTAATTTTTTACTTGTGAAGTGAAAAACGCTATGGTTAGACTGCATGATTTTTAAATTTTATGATGTGTACTGCAGAAAAAGAAGTCGATCTTTTCTTCTTTAGACAAAACCATGTTTAATCTGTGGAGGTAAAAAATATAATTAATAGGAAGAAAGAAAATTTACCATATTGATGCATATTTATTTTATTCTGAGTACGTTCGACATTAGCACAATACCATACTTTTTCATGAAAATGATAAACTTCTTGAAGCTATCTATATTAAAAAATTAAAACCAACTGTTAATAAAATTATGAATACTGCACAAATGTTTTCAAATGTTTACAGCAAATGGTTTAAAATATCTAGGTTTTAACTAAGTTTTAAACTTTTTTTTTTTTTTTTTTTTTTTTTAAATATTTAAACATTTTAATAACTTAGTTACCTTCCTTGATGTTTGTAGGTGTGTCTACATTATAAAATTTAGAAAGTGTACAGTACTTAACCATAGCATTTTTCACTTCACATATAAAAATTTAATTCCCAGCTGAACACCACAAGAAAAAACATTACTGTAATGATGACTTTGTGCTAATGTCAAAAGTACTCTGAATAAAATGGAATGTATATTAATGAAGCATGTCTGTTTTTATATATATATATATATATATATAGTGTGTGTCTAAAATGGCTCAAACAGTAATATTCCATGGTTATAATTTATTACATTGGAATCGTAATCATCAGACCTACAAATTCAAAAAGAAATCTGAAAATATTACTCCAATTATAAATTATGACCATGGAATATTAGTGTTTGGGCCTTTTATTTTATATCTTACTCTGTCCTGGACATTGAGTTCTACCTGGATTCTATCCTATTGGGAATTTATTTATTTTTATATATATGTTTAACAGGTAATAATTGGAGGAATCGAGACCTTTATCATACAGTCTCAGTTACGGTGGACTGGTCATGTCTTGAGAATGTGTGATGACTGGATACCCAAGATCCTAATGTACAGCCAGTTAGATCAGGGCTACAGGAATGTAGGACGCCCATGGCTAAGATACAAAGACGAGCTGAAAAGCAACTTGTCAGCAGTCAATATACCACATAACACCCTTGAGCGCTTAGCCTCGGAGTGGGTAGAATGGAGATCAGTATATTTTAGTGGACTCAGCAATTTTCAATCTGCTTGTCTGAATAATCTTCAAGAAGCGATCGCAAGATCTAAAAGGTCAGCCAATCTAACAGTGATCTCCTCTCACAATCCTCACACTTGCTCCATATGTGGCCTCCTTTGTAAATCACTGGCGGGTCTTAAATGCCACTTAAGATTATCGCACAAAATTTCATAACTAAATCAATAAGCTGTCAGATCCTCATACGTTGAAACCGACGGGAGAGTCCATCATCATCATTATTATATATATATATATGTGTGTGTGAGAGAGACATATCTTGTTAATATACCTTGAATTATTTAATGAGGCATGTCTTGTACAACACACTAGCTTAAAATATGACCTATCGGTTGGCATTTGAACTAGTTTTCAGCCCAATAATGACACTTCATGCATTAAGTAATTTTATTAAACTTGAACAATATTTTTCAAACAATTTTAAGTTTTCATTAAAATAATGATATGATTTGTCTATATGGAACTTATTGCAAAGCTGCATGATAAACATGTTTTTCCTCATTTGGGGTCAGTACAAATAACTTGTTTCCATTCTCAACATCTTGAATAACTAACAGAGCTGACTGTGAGATATGCAGGGTTCCATGAGACAGTCCAGTTGCTTTCACTGATTGTCCTTGTTACTTATTGACGCTGTATAGCCCACTTTCACTCAAAACTTGAGTCTTTTGAACTCGAAAGAAGATCAGTAGGAATTGAGATTCTTGGAATTAACTTTTCTCTTTTCGTGACCAGTAAGGATCACTGCTTCCAAGAGAAGAATGATGAAAAGTTAGTTGTGTCCCTTTAATTGAATGTGTGATATGCAGACATTTTCACATTTAATATATAGAAATATATAGGCTGGTCAATTATTGCTATGGCAAACCATTTTACATTCCTTGTCCATGTGTCAATTTATTTTTTATTTTTATTTTTATGTTAGTTCAGACGTGCCTTTCAAATCTTGTACTGCCATTTATTATTGTAAAATTATCCCATTATAATTGTTCTTATCCCCAACACCGTTAGCACCACCATTGTGTCCTAAATAAATGGGCTAGTCAGCATTTTGATCATGTGGAAAGGGGAAGACATTAATTGGCTTCCGTGAGAGAATGAAAGATAGAAGTGGCGAGGTAGAGAATCAGATTAAGCTGATAAGAACAGGTTTTACTCTTTGATCTTAGCCAAAAGGCTGAGAAGCAATAAAAGCAGCATTTTTCCAATGCACTGTATCATACGATGGAAACGGTAAGGCAATTGCCAAAAATCCAAATACCATAAATTAAATAACATTGCTGAATTATTTTAAAATTATCAAGAAAAATGTTCCTAATATGGATTTGGCTAGGAAAAAAAGTTTCTCTAGCCAATACCTCATACATAATGGATGATTCTGTTCTTTTGGGGAAAGAGTGGCGGAAGACACCCTCTTTTGTGAAAAGATGGGAAAAGACATTACTTGATTTCAGTAAAAAACTGAAAGAAATAAGGGCAGATAAGTGTTTAACAGCTGATTAAATGAAATGGAAAAAGTTGCCAATCTCAAATCCATAACCAAATATTGCAATAACAATCTTAAGTATCATGGCTGTTTAAAAGCCTTGTTTATGTCGTATAGGAAAATCCAACATGGCGTGTAAATGAAATATTTGGCGAAAAATCTCATTCGTCAGTAACATTTTAAATGCCTAGAATGTAAATTTCTTAAAGCAAACCTATGTTAAACTGTTTTCCTGAATACTTGATGACTTGGGTGTTCGAAAATAACATCAAGATGAAATAATGGAAACTGACCATGGAAAACACTATGCGCAACAAGTTTTTGATCAATCAGTAAACTTCCAAACCTTTTTGGGTGACGTTATAGTATCCAGATGGCTATTGTTTGCACGTGGAATTATTCATTGGTAATTAATCTTTGATTTGACTGTGGAAAATGTCACTCGGTGGTTAGCATTAAGAAATTATAACCAATTTTCTGAGAAAAATCACCGTTTTTTTTTTTTTTTTTTTTTTTTTATGAAAATATATTTATTTTTGCTTCAAAATAATATTCAAAATCATTCCTTTCTCTTTCATTTGGCGTGGACATCATTGAATAAAAAGAACGGTTAAATGGCCAGGCGATGGGAAATATGAAAGATATGCAGCGAAAAAAAAGTCGTCTGCTAAGTGTTGTCACGAGGTGTTAAAACAAAACACGTCAAGCCATTGTTCAAACGTAGGTTATATCGAGCCCTAGTAATGTTTACCCTTTTTTTTTTCTTACCCTTTGCTCTTATCTGGGAGTGGTGGGTTTTATTACAACTTGTTCTAAACGCTTATTGCTTGCTGGCTGACCTTTGACCCAGATAGGTCAGTCAATTTGGTTTAATTTTCCTTATTGCTGCTATTATTTTTTTTTTTTAAACCCCCTGGCAGTCATATAATTGAAAATTACCAATGAACTTTGTTGCATTTTGACCCCCTAGGAATGTTGATTTCCTCCAAAACTCTCAATTTTATGCCTGAAATAGTTTGATTATGATTTAGGCTTTCTGTTTTCAAAAAAAAAAAAAAAATGGTTAATTTCCCATTAATGGGGAAAATCTTTTAGAACTAGAAAAAATGCAAAATTTTTACGTCACATTTTACCACCTGAAAAAAAATTTGATTCATTTACATCAGCCAATTTTACTTTTAAATGAAAGAATATATCCTTTGCTTTCAGAAAATACCTAGTTTCATGTGGTTCAGATCAAGTTTCCTTTATTTGTTTAGATGATGATAAAACAGTCATTTTTCAATATTTTACCCCTATAAAAGTATGAAAATCCATTTTTTTTTGAGAGAAAATAAGCTGACAAAATGACTTGCCATTTGTGATTTTTACTTGGAATAGAAAGTATTTACCCTAGCAAACCTGAACCTGACTTTAACTTCAGTGTGGCTATAGGAAACCTCAAACAGCTGTGGTATGAATGCAGGTCATTATTTAAAGAAGTATGAGGGTACAAATGAAAATTTTTCTTCTATTTCACTGAAGCAGATGTTAAACACAGAAGTTATAGCTTATCTTTGTTTTTTCTCACTGAAACCAAATGGTGTCTCTTCCTTCTTTCCTTGCAATCAAAATGGGATAGTCCATTATATCTGAGGTATTGATAGGGTGTAACGCTAAGTAATTTAAAAAAAAAAACAAAAAAAATGAAGAAATCCTAAGATGTAGTAAAATCTTTCTGCTATGTCATCATAGTACATCAACAGTTGATTGTGATGTCATGGAAAAGGATATTTCTTCTTTTTCCTCCCATTTTTGTTATTTTCACTACATTGAAGTAATTTCTATAAAATAGAGCTTCACTTGTGAAAATGTCATGGTTTTCCTATTTTGAATTTTCTGATGAATCTCAATTAAGTTATTGAGTGATTCTGTGACAATAAAATATCCATTGAAATTCCACTATTGCATCGTTAAATATTTGATCTTAACTTTAACAAAATATTGTAATAACAATCATAAATATGAATGCTAGTTGTTAAGTAAGGGGGTACAAATGAACAGATTTGAAAGGGACAACTTTTTCCATTTCACTGAAGTAGACATCAAACAC